CAATGCAGGGGGCGGGAGGCGCCAGCTAGCAAGGGCGGCCCGGGGCGCGGCGGGGGCGGCGCGCGATCGTTGGAACAGCCCAGGCGGCTGCAGCCCCGCCCCTCGCGCCCCCTCCTCGCCGGCCGCGCGCCTGCGCATAGCAGGTTGCGCGCAAGTCTCGCCAGCAGCCATTCCAGCATAGAGGCTGGAACCTGGAGAGCGCTCCGGTAATGGTCTCTGAGAAAACACAACTAGAGGTCTGGGGAGAGGAGGACAGCTAGGTTCTGCAGTGTGACTTTTTTCCAGGCCCTTTTCTGAGTGTGTTGAATATGTTCACTGATTTCATCTTTACAACAGCCCTGTGTGGTTGGGACTATTAGAGCCGTTTTTACAGATGAGGAAAATGAGTCCCCAGAGAGGTTAAGTGACTCGCACAAGGTCAGCTAGCCAGTAGTTGGCAGTGTCCAGAGTCCCTGCAGTTTAAACATATTCAAGGTCTTGAAGGTTCATTTTCCATAATCTGTATTTTGAGTACATCCTAAAATCCCCCATCATCACCTCCAACCATCTTCCCTATTTCTCCCTTCTCCTTAGTTCAATTCTTTTTTTTTTTTATTCTGTTGAGTCAAAATCTCACTCTGTCGCCCAGGCTGGAGTGCACTGGCACGCTCATGGCCACTGCAGCCTCGACCTGCTGCGCTCAGGCGATCCTTCTGCCTCAGTCTTCCAAGTAGCTGGAACTGTAGGCGCATGCCACCATGTCTGGCTAATTTTTTATTTATTGTAGAGACGAGGTCTCACCAAATTGCCCAGGCTGGTTTTGAAACCGCGGACTCAGGCAATCCTCTTGCCTCTGCCTCTCAAAGTGCTGGGATTACAGGCGTGAGCCACTGCACCCGGCTCCCTTAGTTAAATTGTTGCCTAGGCCAGGCTCGTGGCTCAGCCTGTAATCCCGGGCCTTTGGGAGGCTGAGGTGAGTGGATTGCCTGAGGCTGCGGGAGCGAGACCTTATTTCTACAATAAATCAAAAAATCAGCCAGGCGTGGTAGTGCGTGCCTGTAGTTCCGCTACTTGGAAGGCTGAGGCGGGAGGATCGCCGGAGCCCAGCAGGTCGAGGCTGCAGTGGCCGGGAGCGTGTCATTGCACTACAGCCTAGGCAACAGAGTGAGACTCCAACTCAAAACAAAACAAACAAACAAAAAAAGCCCAATTGGTGATGTGGAAACCAAAGTTTTTGTTACATAGATAAGGTCTTATAGGTGACAGTCCTTGGAGAGAATCGATGGAAAATGTCTCTTATTCAGACTTTAAAAGTATCAGATGCCCTGAGCCCGCGGGTTCGAGACCTGCCTGGGCAGCAAGACCTCATCTCTACAATAAATCAAAAAATCAGCTGGGCATCATAGCGCGCGCCTGTAATTCCGGCTACTCGGAAGGCTGAGGTGGAAGGATCGCTGGAGCCCAGCAGGTCGAGGCTACGGTGGCCGGGGGCGGCCACTGCACTCCAGTCTGGGCGACGGAGTGAGACTCCAACTCAAAAAAAAAAAAAAAAAGTATCAGACGCTCGGTTAATCCCTCCTGATTCTGGAAAGGCCTGGAAGAGGAATAAATCTCGCTGTGTTAATGCAGATTCTCTACAGATGCAAATATTTCTCCACAAAAGATGGCTCGGCAGGTCTATTTCAAAATATGCCAAAGACACATATTTTGGTTTAAAATATTTTTATTTCCTTTAGGGTCTGCTATCTCGTGTGATGCCTTACCAGACTGGAATTTGGTATCTTATTTCCACAGAGTCCATTTTGTTATTCCTACGATCACTCATGTTAACACAAGTCAGTTGTGTCTAAACTTCAAAAGGGAGGGGATAGAACACCATGTGTCCAACCTCCTTTTCTGTCATGGTCCTGAATTTAGTTTTTTCGGGTTCCCTTGGCTCCAAGGGATCCGTCCAGTCGGTGTAGGGACACAGAATTTTATTTTGGGTTTGCAAGTGCCTTAGTGCCTAGGACGGTGCCGGGACAGGGAGGCTGAGACAGCCCAGAGCCCACTGCCCGCGTCCCTCCTTCCACAGAAGGAGCTGCCCCTTCCCAGCCCTCCCCAGTCTCTGCACAGCCAGCCCCTCAGCTCTGTGTGGTCATGCGGAGGACCCAGCTTCCTCATGGCCTTCCACTCTGGCCCCTCTTCCCTCTTCAGGGTGGAGGTGTCCCAGCACTGCTACCATCAACTAAAAATAAAACCGTAGGCCACCTAACTGAGCAGACCCCCTCTTGGCCAAGGGGCCCTCAGAGAACCACGAGAAACTGAGCCACGGAGGGAAGGGTGGTTGGACGTGACGTATTATCCTCCCTCCCTTTTGGGGTTTAGGCATCAAACGAGAGATCTTAAGCCTGACGAAACAGACTCTTTGTGATAGCAAGATTCCAAATTATAAACAAGACCATGCCAGACAAGAGCTTAAAATAGCATTATATTTTATTATTAAAATTATATTAGCCGGGCTCGGTGGCTCAGCCTGCAATTCCGTGCCTTTGGGAGGCTGAGGTGAGTGGATGGCCTGAGCCCGCGGGTTCAAGATCTGCCTGGGCAACTTGGCGAGACCTCATCTCTACAATAAATCAAAATAAGCCGGGTGTGGTAGCGCGTGCCTTTAGTTCCAGCTACTTGGAAGGCTGAGGCGGAAGGATCGCCGGAGCCCAGCGGGTCGAGGCTGCGGTGGCCGGCAGCGGCCACGGCACTCCAGTCTGGGTGACAGAGTGAGACTCCAACTCAAAAAAAAAAAAAAATTACATTAAATTCTGTTAGCCCACACACCCCTTGGGTCCCTTTGACCCGGTGTATTAGACTTCCTGATCTCAACTTACACATTCCTTTCTGCTGACTCCAGCTATTTAGACAAAGCTTTATGTCTCTAGCCAATTGCAAATCAAAGAAACTTTGAATCCACCTATGACCCGTAGGATCGCACTTTAAGATACCCTGCATTTGGGGGCCAAACCGATGTATAAGTTCCACGTACGGATTTATGACTTTGCCTGTAACTTGCACTTCCCTAAAACATACGAAACAGAGTTGCCACCTGATTGACTTCCTGGGTTTGCGTTTTTTCCTGGGCCGTGGTCACTCCTATAGGCTTGAAATAAAACTCCTTAAGTATTTCACAGAGTTTTGTTTCTTCGTTAGCACCACCCTCCAGGAGGACACAGTTGCCTGTGTCTAGGCTGTGGGTCCAGGGGTCCCATTACGTTCCAGGCTATGTTCTGTGTAGATAGGAGGGCAGTGCCCCTTCCAGTTCAGATGCTTGTCCCCTAGGCCCAAAGCAGTCTTGTAGGCCCTGCTGGGGTCACATCTCTGACTCTGCCCCTCCTGCCTCCCTTTTAGGAAGACCCTTGTGATCCCCCTGGGCCCCTGGATAATGTGGGATCCTCTTAAAGTCCCTGCTGTCATGTTAGGGGACAATACACAGGTCCTGGGCATTCAGGCATAGACATCTTTAATTCTGCCGACCACATTAACTTGCGCCCAGCT